AAGGATATGCAATTTGGCAGGCCAATTCTGAGGCTGCTCTCAGAATTATGGCCTAAAGAGCCATAATTAGTCATATTTTCTTAGGCAAGAAGGCAAGGGGCCACAGAATTGAGCTAAGAAATAGTTTCTTAGAAAAAATGTCAAGTGGCCACATTTTTGGGGACCAGGTAGGTCATCATTATCTTTTCCTTTACTAGAAAAGCAAAGGTTGGGAGGATTACAATAAAGGATCTGTACTTTTTCTTTTGGAATGCACTTTAAACTTTTAACTTTTATGGGCTGGAAGTGTGGCTTAAGTGGTAGATTACCTGCTTAGCAAACTTGAGGCCCTGAGTTCAAACTCTAGTACCATCAAAAAAAAAATAACTAAAATAAAAAATAAAATTTTAATGCTTCACAGCTTTCCTATTGCCTGTCATCCTTGAACACTAGTCATAGTTTTCAGAGGTATTTTTTGGAATAATAAAGTAGGTTTTGTTTTTGTTGTTCATTTTGAATTAACATTTATGAGAATATGTTTAAATGCTGTAACCATACTAGAATTTTTAGAACGCATTAGGCCTTACCTGTTAGAGTTGTAGTAAGAGAGCTCTTAATATTTATTTAAGATCACTTTTTATAAGAAAGCCTAATCTCTCACACCTGCTTTCTTAACTTTCAGGAGTGCATCAGAGCCTTAGGTAGAAATAAACCTCATACTCCTTTCCGAGCAAGTAAACTCACTCAGGTATTAAGGGATTCATTCATAGGTGAAAACTCTCGTACCTGCATGGTAGGTATATTTTTGTTTTTGTTTTATTTTATTCCTTAAGAAATACATAACATCTGTGGAAAAAAATTTTGAGTATATGTTAATTCTAATAATTTCAATCCTTGTATTGTGAGAGTAGGGTGATGTTTAAGATGGGTTCCCTGCCAGTCTGACAGAAAGGATTATATTGCATTTATAATGCATTGTACTAATTTCCACATGAAGTTACATGTATAAACATTATGAAGAAATACCTTGTAGAAGCTCTTCTGTTAATTTCCTCTTAAGATTATTGTCTTTACTTGTTTTAATAGACATTAACATGACAGAACTTACCCCAAATTCTTGTTTCCCTGGTTTAGGCAGCAGTTAAAATTGTAATCTTTTTAGACTTAGCTGTATTGCTTGTAGTTTGTCTTGTGAATGCCTACCTCAGGGGTCAGCCAACAATTTGGGCAGTTACATGTAAAATTTGGGTTTTCCCTATCAGTGTTTCTCTCCCTCCTGGGAAAGCTGCTGTGGTCCCATACCCATATATGCCCTTTAATTTCTAAGCAGTAATACTCCAAGTTTCTGCTAGAGTTTTAGTTGTCATATGTGACAGCAGCCGAGCTTGCCCTCTGGCAAAAGGCTATTAAAAGAAAATAAATTGGGGGACTGGAGGTGTGGTCAAGTGGTAGAGCACCTACCCAGAAAGTGTAAAGCCCTGAGTTCAAAACCAGTACACACCAAAAAAAAAATTAGACCAAAGTGCATAGTCACTCAGTGCTGTTCCCTTGTAAGTATTTACCAGCATTGTCTGCTGGATTTTTAATAATAACTGGTTTCTTCAGAGGTTTTTATTTTTAAATGGACTTCTTAATTATATGTTTACAGATAAGAGATAGCAAATTAGAGAAAAGAAATCACTAACAAATATTTTTAAATAACCACTATAAGATTAGACTAAAGGAGTTATTTGTCAGGACTGTTGTCGTAATTATTTACATTTTAACTTTGCATTTTTTACCTTATAGATTGCCACAATCTCTCCAGGAATGGCATCCTGTGAAAATACTCTTAATACATTAAGATATGCAAATAGGTATGACAGATGTTTTTTCCGTTTTGAAATTTGAAATCTAATACTAAATTAGTGTAGTATCTAGTATGATTTAAATCTAATAGGCAGCCAGGTGTGGTGTAGTGCATACCTGTAATCTTATAGCCCTGGGGAGGCTGATGAGGCAGGAGGATCTTGAGTTCCACATCAGAATGGACTGCATAGTGAGATCCTATCTCAAAAACAAACAAGAAAAACCTAGTAGGGCAAAACTTTACTACATGTTCTTCGAATTTTCAAAACAAAATTTTTACATATATTTATGATGACAGTATTTAGACTCATTTTGTAAGTTGTAACGAGTGAGAATGTATTGTGTGATTAGGGAAGTGACTGGTATCTTTAGTAAAAATTTACCTTCTGTTCTAGAACATGATTATTTTTCCATTTCAAGAAGTTTTGTTTTATGTTTTACTACATTTGAGTCATGCATATTCTTCCTATTAAGACTTTAAAATGGACTGGTGGAGTGTCTCAAGTTGTAGAGTGCCTGCCTACCAAGCAGGAGGCCCTGAGTTCAAACCCCAGTGCTGGGGGAAGCTTTTGAAAATAAGGTGCTTATTCTGTATTTCTTAAATTGTTTTGTTCTATGGGGAACCTAGAGTTTTAGTAAAAATACAGTATAATTGTATTGTATTTTATTATTCATGTCAATAGTATTTTCAACTTTAATAAACAACTAGATCATTACAGATGGAAGGACAAAATGCATTGTACACATAAGGCAGATTATTCCTTACAGTCATGAATAGCTTCAAATGCCCTGGGACTGGGCATTTATTCCATAGAGTTTTTGTACTCACTACTCTTGTTTTGAGTAGCTATTTACATAGTTTTAAATACATTTATGATTATAATCTAAAAGTAAAAATCTTTGTAATCTAATTCTAAAATTCCTCAGAATTCTAAAGTATACATTGTCTTAATTTTGCTCATCAGAACGTGTCCTGCTTCTTCATTTTAATCATAATGAAAATTTTATTTTCAGTTTTCTTAAAATGTAAAATACATATACATAAAACTACTGTCATTAGATCAGGAAATAAAATATTACCAGTCTCCCAGAGTTTACTGATCTAAATTCAAAATAACTTGGTCAAACCTGTTAAATCTACCCTGCAGTAACCTGACTTCCTTAGAATAATTTTCTCGTTTTTCTTTTTCACGTTTTAAAAGTAGGCTTACTACTGAGCGTATCCTTGAACAACATATGTAGCTATTAGATAATCCCCTTTGTTCTTTGCTTCTTTTGTTTCAACTGAGGAGAGGTGTGTGGAATTGGAATTTGAATTTAGGACCTCTTGAGCTATAGCTCCAGCTCTTGAAAGCTTTTTAATGGTAATAACACTGTTGGAAAGTATAAACCTATTGGCTAACTGATGCATAGCTCAGTGGTGGAGCATTCACCTAACATACATTAGGCCCTGTGTTCAATCCCCACCACAAAGACAAAACCAGAACATCCACAAAAGTGTAAACCTATTGACCTTTTGTATCAAGGTATTAAAATATAATAGCTTCTTCAAAATGTAATAAAAATTTAGCAGTACTCAAATTTTAATTAATCCTTTTTAAAGTTTGAATATATAAGATCCTAGCTGCAAACCTTTATTGTTACTTCTGATTTGTCTTTGTATTAATATTTTGGTATATGGGATTTTTATCATTAATTTAAAATGACTCTTACTTCAAGGATTATTCATGGGAGGAAGGAATAACTTAATGTGGTATATTTTTGCCATGTTACAGAATTGAAACAAAATCCTCCTGTGTCCTAAAACTTTTAACTATAAAGAATTCCCTATAATATGAAAGTGCAGTACAGGTCAAGCATTTGATTGAGATCACAGGTATTTCAGATTTTTTTTTTTTTTAAATTTTGGGGTCTTTGCGTATACATAATGAGATACTGTGAGGACAGGACCCAAGTTTAAACACAAAATTCATTTATGTTTCATATACATATAGCCAGAAGGTAATTTTATAAAAATATTTTTAACGTAACTACATTTTGACTCACTCATCACAAAAGCTCAGGTGTAGCATTTTCTACTGGTGGTTGTCCTGTTGGCACTGAGAAACCTTCAGGTTTTGAAGCATTTTGGATTTCATGCTTTTTTGAGTTAGGGATTCTTAATCTGTATCTAATTGTTCCTTTATTTCATTTAGGTCCAAGTATAATGTTTTGTTAGAGTTGACCCTTTTTATATGACTTGTACAAGAAGGTATCAGATACAAGAAAAAATTTTTGGATGAGCCTAATGTAGAGTATCTAAATTAGGAGATTCTGAGGCAGATGAGAAATAGGTTTGGGAGTAAAAAGTGTTTAAGTTAGTATTAGAAATTCATATTTATCAGCATGTGTATGGTAAATACACTTTCCAAAGTGATTGTGTTAAAGGATCTAGGGCTGAGCTAGGTGTGTTAGCACACATCTGTAATCTCAGCACTTGGGAGGCTGAGACCAGAAGGATCTTGAGTTTGAGGCCAGCCTGGAACACACAGCAAGACCTGTCTCCAAAAAATAAGGATGAAAGGGCAGATGGAGCTAGTATTGAACCTTTGATGGTAGATATTAGCAATAGATCAAAGAAAAATTGTAAGTAGAAAATATGTATGTGTCTATATAAATTTAACCTGTGTGAAGTTACTAGTATTTCACTGAATTTTGACATACAAAATCAAATTGCTGATATGTTCGGTTCAGCCTAAGAGAAGTCATGAGAATTATATACATTTAGTTAGTATACTGAAGTGTTAAATAGCATAGGATTTATACTCAGGGCTAAGTTTGAATTTCAGTACATCACATTTTTATTGAATGAGCTTGGGTAAGATACTTTATTTCTCTGAGTCAGTTTTCTCATCTAAAAACTGGAAATAATACTCTGGTTTCTCTTCAGATCATATAAATCTTTCATCTTTTTAAAAGCTAAATAATATCACAAGATTCTTGTAAGGTCTGCATTAATATACTGCCTAAAAAATATTAATTCTAATACCTGCTAAATAGGAAGTATTTAATAAATATTGCCTACTGATATGAAAGAGGTTAGACCAAAAGAAGGACAATAGGTATAGGAAATCACTTAAGATGGGGAGAGGAAAGTCACAGTTTGGTTAAATATAACTATTGCAGACATTAACAAAAACAGTATAAATTCCTTCCCCAACAGCTATTCTCAATCATGGTTCTTCATCTGAATCAACCACAAAAATTTGAGCTACTAGTTTCTCAATCATATGAAGGCTGTTTTGTAGCTAAACATAAGCAGAAGTTAATTCATTGTAAATAATGGTGGTCTTAAGACATTTAGGACTTAGTTCTCTTGTGTTCAATTTGTGGACTCCAAAAGTATTGAGGACTCACTAATGCTAACAAACAAAATATTCATGAGAAAATTAATTTGAGTGGTCACGGAGTTAAAATAAGAGGCGTTTTTAAGTAATGGCCTAGTTAAATTTCTAGGAAGCACTATGAGAAAAGGAGAAAATATACCAGAAAGGAAGGATTTAGGTTCTTTGAGTAGGAGATCAACAGGACTAAAAGGTTCAAAAATGTCTTAAAATGGAGCATTTGTAAAATAATGTTCTAAATATTTGTTACAATCATATTAATATCCTTTTCTAAACAAAAGAGTATTAAATGAAAACTTGAAATGTGCATTGCTGTCTTGACAAGAACATTTTCTTTTAATTTGTTGCTGTTTTGGTACTGCAGAGTAAAGGAGTTTGGAATTAGTCCATCAGACATTCCCTTCTCACAGGGTAGTGGCAGTCGCCCTGATCTCTCTCCTTCTTATGAGTATGACGACTTTTCTCCTTCGATTACCAGGTCTAGTTCTTTCTGTACATAAGATGTTTATTTTAATAGCGTCTTTGGAATTGTCTGCATACACACATTTCATTTACTTCTTTTGTCCTGCGCCATTTTTCATTTTCATTTTATTTGGCAGGTGAATTGTACTGCATGGTCTGCATTGTTATGTCCTTTATTAATTTGTGTGCTTTAAAATGTTGATTTATAATTCAAGCTTCCTATTTCCCTCATTTTTTGAAGGATGATGTCACTTTTGCATATTTACTATTATCTGCAAATGAAATTAACAGGAGTCCTCTTGTTTGTTTCCCAAATGTGTAAATTTAATATGATGAGTAAATGTTTTCAAAGTGACAGAAATTAAAATCGTATAATGTTTAAAACATTAAAATTTCATGTTAAGCTATTTTAATTGAGCATTAGGGACTACCAAAAATCTGTAAGGTATATTGAGTTCCCTGATTTGGACGTGCTCTATTTATGGATCTAAATGCATTTCTAACATTTTTGTCTTATACAAGTAAGGCAATAATAATTTGTCTGAAATACTGAATCTACATACTTTTTAATGTTCACTTAGTATATACAATTATTATACTTGAATTGTAAAGTTGCTTAAGTAAAACTCCTAGAATTAACCAAATATCCCCTTAGTGTTTTCACAGAGTTCAGATAAATTTGATGTAGAAAGGTGACATCATCAGTCTTAGTATGTTAATTGAAATGCTTTTATATTGAATAGGTTGATATTTTCTAGTTTCTTTGCATTGGGTCGTAATTTTAGATTCTTATATATTTATAGGGTGAAAGAACTGACTGTAGATACTACTGCTGCTGGTGATGTCCGTCCAATAATGCACCATCCACCAAACCAGATTGATGACTTAGAGACACAGTGGGGTGTGGGGAGTTCCCCTCAAAGAGATGACCTGAAACTTCTTTGTGAACAAAATGTGAGTGACATAATTGTAACTGATGTAACCTTATTATCAGTAACAGAATGTAAATGAAAACTATCACCTAAAAATTAAGAAAGAAAGAAAACTATCCTGTAAAGCAGGGGTGAGTAAACTGTACCCTGTGGGCCAAATACCTGTTTTAACAAATAAAGTGTATTAGAACATAACCATGCTTACTCATTTATGGGTTGGCTTTCTTACCACAGCAGGGCAGAGAACACACGAATCCAAAGCAACTTTCTGGTTTACCAACACTCTAAACTATACTTTTTTTCAGATTTTATATCAGTATTCAAATTTTAATAACAAGTTTAAGATAAAACATCATTTACAAGGCTTAACAAAAATTATGACCACATGCATATGTGTTAAATGGATGAGAAAAATCAGACATGGCAAAATGCTGACATCCATTAAATCTGGTTGCTTTTCCATGTTTGAAATTTCTAAAGCATGATTTAAATTTTTGGTTTCATAATTACTTAAATAATATTTGCCTAAGAAAAGACAAATACATACTTTGATATAATTGCTTTTAATATACTGACAGGATTCTTTTCTGTATGGAATATAAAGTTTTCCTATGTAGTTTAATTTCATTTTAGAAATGCATATTCTGTATCATTCTTTTCTTCCCAAAATAGTACTATGGTATTTTCTCATAATGTTAAATTTACTAGCTGCTTCTACATGACATATATTTGCTATGCATTTTAGTTATTACCTAACTCAATATGGTGGTGCTGTATTTGCAATTGACATTTGAAGAGGTGTAAGCAATTTGGCCAAGATTTGTGCAAGTGGCAATTGCTGAAGCCTGAATTAAAACTTACATCTTTATGCCAGATACTATGTCAATTAAACTCATTGCCATCTGCAATACAGTAGTATTTGAAAAGAACCTAATTAGTGGTTATGTTGTGATATTTTCTAAGTAACAAATGAAAATACTACTTTTTACTTTTGGTTACCATGTTCCACATTAGTCCATTACTAAAGCAGGGCTAACAGCATCTGTTCTCAACCAGAGGTGATTTGGCCTGGCTAGGGCAGAATGTGTGGTAAATTTTTGGTTGTCACATTGGAGTGATACTGCTGGCTTCTAGGCTAAGGATGCTGTTAAACACCATACAGTACAGTGTCCCCTACCTTATAACTTCCCCAAAAAATGGTCAGTAGTTGTAAGGTTGAGAAAACCTGGTTTAAATGAATTCTTTGAACTATGAGCTTAGAAGACAGTAAGTTCCTAGCCTTAGTCCATCTACCTCCAAAAGTTTTGAAAGTGACTGTAGTCATTCTTAGAATCATCAAAGCTGATTGGGCCTTCACAGCCTTAATTTGGAGAGGTTGGCTAGGTGACCAGAACTAATGCAGGCATTTTAAGTATGACATAATGAGTTTTTGTAGACTCATACTGCACAGAGTATAAATTTCTTCAGCTTTGGCACTTCCAGGAAACTAAACTTGAGATGATTTAGCATTAGACTTTGTGGCAATATTCTTTTAAAAAGGTATATTAAAATGGAATAGAATCTAAGACATTGCCAGAGATGAAAGCAATATACATGGATAATCAAATACATTAGCATTCCAGAAGTAGAAGTTTGTATAGACAAAAATGAAGTAAACACTATGTAGTATAGGAATTTGTATAGTATCTGTAAGCAAAGGAAAGGCAGAAGATACTCTGGGCTTAAAGAGGAAATAGTCAGAAAAAAACAAGTAAAGGTATGTTTATGTGTTTTTCAGAGAGGGAAAGAAAATATGAGAAAATGCCAGTGTGTCCTCATAAAAAGCAGATGCATATTTTCCCTAAGAAAATATAAAAGGTTTTTGGCTAACCTGATTGTATAACTTTTTAGGATGATAACTTACTGATGAAAGAGTCAAATATATACTTACAATATGTAATCAAAATTTGTACATACATTTGGAATCGTATTTTATTTGAAGAATGCTTTTTCTACTCGTATTTTACAAAACAATTTTAGGCGGTCTTCTACATAGTTGTCTTTATCACTAAGGCACATTTTGAGAAAATAAAAATAACTCATTGAGAAGAAAACTCCAAAAGAAAAAAACTTTAAGCCAAAAAATTTTTGACTTATTGTAAGATCATAGTACATGTTTTGTTTTTGTTTTTTGTGGGTGTGTGTCTGTCATTGTAAAATTTTGATTTGTCAATTCAGTAAAAACTGTCAAGCATGCCTGTAGTCCCAGCTACTTGGGAGCTGAGGCAGGAGGATTGTTTGAGTCCAGCAGTTTGACTTCATCCTAAGCAACATAGCAAGACCCTATCTTAAAACAAAATTCAAAGTCCAGTTTCTGAGTGCATACTTTCTTTCATGCCATCATAAATCATCAAATTTTAAGACAAAACATCCTTAAGTCAGAAATTATGTGTATATGCAGTAAATTGTTAATGAAAAGAAAGCATCTCAGGATACTTATAACCTGCAAAAAAAATTTATTTTTGAAAAGTTGGACTATTCCAAAAGAGATTGCTTTTTAGGGTAATTCTGCAGCAAAGCCTGGGCAAAATAAAAATTATTCCTTGCTCAAGGTAAAATTTGGGTTGTCTTATTCAGAGTTAACATTATTTTGACCCTGTGGCTTTTTCTCTCATGTATGTGTATTTTAGTAGTCTGCCATTCAAACTTCCTTATTCTAAGTGACCTTTAAAAATTGACACTAAAAAACCACTTGAGGGACTCAGTGCCAGACTGTGTGCTTTTTAGCATCCCCCAGGTTTAACCTCTAGCCACCCCGCCAAAAAAAAAATGCAAAAAAGATACTTTAATAACTCTCTGAAAATACGAGCTTTATATCATAATTTTAAAACTTTTTATTTTAAGGAAGAAGAGGTTTCTCCACAATTGTTTACTTTCCATGAAGCTGTCTCACAAATGGTAGAAATGGAAGAACAGGTCGTAGAAGATCACAGAGCAGTGTTCCAGGTAAAGTAAGAAAGGACCTTTTTATTAAGATATTTCTTGACAGACACTAATCAAAAGCTTCCATAACTCTTGCAATATAACATTACTCTTAAAAATTATTTATGTGTTTATGTAGTGTATTTGTAGGACATATGATGGAATTTTTTGCACATAGTATTTTTTTAATAGACTGACTCCAAACATTTCTCTGCACCATATGAAAATATCTGCCATCCCTTTTTAGCTCCCCTTTCTTTCTTTTGCAGTTGTCCATTTTTAGACAAGAGTTAAACTTTTGACCACCACTACTATTTTCTTTGTTAGCTGTTGAGGAAATGTCAGTCTTTGAAGAAAAGAGTTCATGAGGAGATGGAGGGTTACTGCTCAGACTGAACTACTGGTGGCAAGCTGAATGAGGGGTGTGTGTCCCTGCTAGAAGGGTTCAATTTGTGTTCACCCTATTAAAAGTGCTTTTATTGTATGATCGTCCCTCTTTTGGTTTGTTTTTTGACATAGTCTCACCTCAAATTTGCAATCTTTCTTTTTCAGAGTCTCCCAAATGCTGGAGTTACAGGCATGCACCATCATGCCTGGCTTGATGTTTTTTTGTTTTGAGACCAGGTCTGGCTGTATTACTCTAGCTAGCTTTGAACACATAGGCTCAAGCAATCCCTCATTCCTCATCCTCCTTAGTAGACAGATATGTATTACCATGTTCTCTTTCTGTGTTTTTAGCAAGAAAATACCCTGGTGGTAGTACTTAGGAGGAAGTAAAGATACTATGTAGACATTTTTATGAAGACTGTACTGTCGCTTGTCTCTTCCCACCCCCACTTCTTGTAGTTTTTGATTTCCTGAGAAAAAGAACAATAACTCAGTCTTCCTTATCAACTTTATTTCTTCTTTGGTATTGAAAAAAATCTTTATCTGTAAACAAAATTATAGTACCTCAGTGCAAGGTCATTCAAGCATTTGGATGAAGGGCTCGATTCAAATTAGGATACACATTAAGACTGTCAGGGGTTTAGTGAAGCGCTATAAGAATGCTTTTAGAGCCCTAGGTATTTGGATTAGGTTGAGAATGGACAGTTGTAATTTAAAGTTATGTGTGCTTTTGGAACAAGTTATCATATAGGACCATCATTTCTTGCTGAGGTTTTTGTTTTTCCTTTCCTTTTTTTTTTTTTTCAGACCAAGCTTGACTGTGTAGCATTGGCTAGCCTTAAACTCAACAATCCTCTTATCTCAGCCTTCCTAATGCTGGGATCCTGCTTCAATCTGCTACCTTTATAGATGAAGTCTTGTATTTGCTTAATGACAGAATTGGTGTTCTGACTTTCAATCCAGTATTCTTTTTACAATTCCATATATTGTTCCTCTAAACTATGATCTGCCACTTCTCAAAATAGGGTTTTATTAAATAAAAATTAAGTGTATAGCTGAAGGAAAAGGGAAAAAATGGTAGTATATTTCCATTTTCTAATTGATACATATAGTTTTTCTCAGATACTTAGACCTAGGTTTGTCAGTTGTCTGTGGTATAGTTGTAATTAACCATTAAGGTGAATTGGTAGGTAAAACTTTGAGATCTTTATACCCTAAAAACCTACAAAATGCCTAGTTCTATGTCGAAAAAAACCTTTCAGTTCAGATCCATCTGGCCTTGTTGACAATCTGTATGAGTTTACTACATTGATAGAAACTGAAACATACCCCAAATCAGTCAAGGATGAGTTCCTTGGCTGGAAGTGTGCCTCAAGCAGTAAAGTACCTGCATAGCAAGTACAAAGGTCTGAGTTCAAATGCCAGTACTACTCCCCAAAAAAGAAGGAATTCCTTGAAGCATTTATGAATAGTAAGTAGCTACTATTTAGTAACACATTTGAATCTTCTAAAATTGACTATCCATTGATCTCTTTTAGTCAGAAATTTTGAATAAGTAGTGTTTGGTATTTAAGATCACATCTTGGTCCAGAGACTTGTGAGGCTCTGTATTAGTCTTATTTTTGGTGCTGATTAACGTAATAGCACAAACTGGGTATGTTATAAAAAGAGGTTTGTTTTGGCTCACAGATCTGGTCCAAGACTGATTTGGTAATGGCATTCTTGCTGGCAGAGATTGGAAGCAGCATAGGGCATCACATGATGAGAGACATTTGTGTTCATGTTCTTTCTGTCTCTCTTCTTATATAAAGCCACTAATATTCAACTATGGGGATTCCACCTTGATGACTTTAATCACCTCCCAAAGGACCCACCTCTAAACACCATGTTTGGATTAAGTTTCCACCCTCTTAATATCTCAAAATGGTTATTCAACTCCAAAATGAGTTTCGTAGGAGACAAACTATATCCAAAACATTGCAAGCTCCTCATTCCAAATGCCTTACAAGTTCTAGACTACCATAGCTCCCATCAAATTGCTCAATAGCTTTATTATGCCCATTCTTTCCTCATTTTAGAGACAGCTGTTAAGGTTTTGAGACTTACTTTGCTTAATGATGATTGTCTTTGATTCGCTCTCAGATCCTTACCAGGGTAGACTAAAGGCAGAAAAATGAAGCCATCTTGCTCAGCCCATTATATGTGTTTCTGTTTGAATTTAAGGAAAGACTTCTTAATTTTACTGTCTGTGAATAAAGATATTTTATGTCTGTTAATATATTAGAGAATAATAAGTTAAGTGTATTTGATTACATTTAGCAGGATTTGTAAATTGGTATGTGTTTTACGAAGTTTTTAGAATATTATTCTTTTTAGGAATCTATTCGCTGGTTAGAAGATGAAAAGGCCCTCTTAGAGATGACTGAAGAAGTTGACTATGATGTGGATTCATATGCTACACAACTCGAAGCTATTCTTGAGCAAAAAATAGACATTTTAACTGAACTGCGAGGTAATTCTTCTATCTTAGTATTTGGTACAAAAATCTGCTTGGTCTTGGGGTAGATACTTGTGGGGAATTTTTATATTGCAAGAGGACATCTAAAGTGAAAATATGGGCACCATTTAGTAACTTCTTTCCAGAGATATAAACCATTGTTTTCTTTCTAAACATTTTCATTTTCAGTTCCCCCAGTCATGTTTTCTTTTAGTCTTTTAAGATAAAAATACCTTATAATTAGGAGGATACATGTATTTTAACACTCAAAAATTTTATATGCCCATTCAAGTCTTTAGCTTGATAGGCCTGTGCTTGTCAGAATTATTCTGTTTTGATTAGGCTTATTCAGGGTCACTTTTCAATAACCTATCTTCATCTTTCAGTGCTGTCTTGGGTCATGTTTTTTTCTTAAAACAGTTTTTTAAAAAAATTTCTGAAAGGGAAGGTGTCAAGGGAAGCTTGACTACCCTTTATGTGTTACTCATGAAGACAAGCATGTGGGTTACTGACACACTGTTTCCTTTTGACTTTTTTTTTTTTTTTTTAACTTTGAGTGGTACTGAGGTTTGAACTCAGGGCCTCCATGTTTGCTGGGCAGGCACTATACCACTTGAGCCACTCCACTAGCCCTTCTTTTGGCTTTTTAATTCGCTAATCTGCATATCTTCAAATACATACTTTTTATACATACTAATATCGGTTCTGTGTGAGTGGGCATCTTCTGTGTTTGTACACAATTCATCATGAAACCAGATTGAAATTCCTAGTTTTTAGCAGCAACTAGGCTACTTAATTTTTCAAAAGAGGCCCATCATAAAGTTGGTTATTAGAAATCAGGTCCTGTAAGGCTCAGTGACTGTTGTCCTGAAGTTTACATTTGTTTTTCATGTTGTTCATATTCAAGACTTGATCTAAATTTTTGATGATTTTCCTAATCTATAATTCAAAGTCAGCTTTTCTGTATGCATTTTAGAAGATCATAATGTACCCTACTGCATTCTAATATTTTTTTCTTATAATGTGTGGCATTCAACTTTAATTTCTTTTCCTTAATTTTCTCAGATTCCACATATGTCAAGCATATCCACAACTTTGAAAAAATTATTATCTAGATAATGCATTATTTGGTCTTTGAATTTTTTTAACCATATCCAGATAATTTTGGATTATTATGAGAAGTTTAAGAGCTATTATATTAAGAAGCACCAGATACAGAAGTCTTTAAATTTCTTTCTAATTCAGAAGTTAACTTTGTAAAATAACATCATTGTTCTTCTGAAGAGAGGAAAGAAATTGAGCTTCTAATTTGCTATCTTCCTTTTCTTCTGAAGGTTAGAGTACGGTTTTCTGTTTTTGGGGTTTTCTTTGGTTTTTTTTTTTTGGTTTTTCCAGTGCTGGGGAGTGAACCCTGGGCCTCATGCATGGTAGGGAAATACTCCACCACTGAGCTCACTACATCCCCAGCCTAGAGTAGGAGTTTTATATATAACATTGGCACTATGAACATTGTGGGCCAGCAACTGTTTGTTGAGGGATGGTCTTGTGCATAGTAAAATGTTTACCAGCATCCTTGGTCTTTATCCACTAGAAGCCAGTGGCACCACCACACCAGTTGTGACAAAAAAATCTCTAAACATTAATAAATGTTTTCTGGGGAGGGGGCAAAAATCACCTCCAGTTGAGAACCACTGTTATAGGAAGATGTCTTATCTTTTCAGTTCCCTAAAATTTGCCTCTGACAATTTGCTAATGTATTTCTAATTCTCATGACTCTAGATTAGTATATGGTAGACGGCAGGACAGAATGTGTAAAAGTGAGAAAGCATTGCCTGTCATCTCATTTTGCAATCCCTGATGAATAAACAAGTGTCTTTTAAATTCAGCTATCTTTCAAAAAAAAAGGTGAGGTAGAGGTAGGTAGGCACTGGTGGCTCACACCTGTAATCCTGGCTAGTTGGAAGGCTGAGATTAGGATTGCAGTTCATGGCCTGCCCAAGCAGGCAGTTAGAGAGACCCCCATCTCCAAAATAATGAGCAAAATGGGCTAGGGGTCCTGAGTTCAAATCCAAATCCCACCAAAAAAAAAAGGTGAGGCAGGAACTGGGACTAGGAATTTCCTAATATTGAGAGAAAGAATATCTATTTTACAGTTTAATAAGACTCTGTTCTTTTTAGATAAGACTATACATGTAGGACTATACATACTATATATACATATGTACTCACACACATACACATATGTAAAGCACGTCTGTACTCTCAAAATAATTCAAATTAAAACTAAACTCTGTAAAATGTACCTAACAAAGGAGAAACATATAGAAAAAATAGGCTTTTGCAGGAATATATCATGAAACGTCATACAGTTGATCAACGTATTTAGTTCTGAGATTCTAAACACAGAACAAAAGGAAAAATAGTAAGTTATTGTTCTAAGAGAGTTACTGATAGGACCAATAGTTATATATTGTGTATATGTACATATATGATGTATACATATGATACTTATTCTGTTTCTTTGCTTTTTCCAAGATAAAGTGAAATCTTTTCGTGCAGCTCTACAAGAAGAAGAACAAGCCAGCAAGCAAATTAACCCGAAAAGACCCCGTGCCCTTTAAATTGGAATTTATTGCTAAAGGATCCCCGAACCCTCACTAGTGTAACATACAATGGTTCAGCTGTAAGGGCCATTTGAAAGTTTAAAATTCAAGTATCTGTGAGAAATGTCCTTCACCTAAATGACATTTCAATTTTGTGAAAAAACTCCTTTGTCTACAAAATGCTTATAATCCAGGAAGTACAACCAAGAATTGGGATTAGTGAAGTATTTTGTTTCATTTACCCAAATAGTGATTTACTTTTGGAGCTCCTTGCCAATTTTATTTTCCATTTGATTAAATAAGATTGTGGACTTGATCCAGAAGTGGAGGGTAGGAGAAAGCCTCAGCATTTCCTTTTAACTCAGTTCAATTTTCATAGCAAGACTGAGCAGTTTTAAATACTTTGCGTGCATGCATACCTCATCAGTGATTGTACATACCTTGCCACTCCTAGAGACAGCTGTGCTCATCTTCTTGTGCCTTGACTAAGGCTACTGACCCTAAATTTCTGAAGCACAGCCAAGATAAATTACATTCCTTATGTCATTGTAAATTACCTTACTGTGTGTACATTTTTACTGTATTTGAGACTTTTTGTGTGATTAGTTAATTTTGCAGGATGTGCCATATCATCGAACGGAACTAAAGTCTGTGACAGTGGACATAGCTGCTGGACCACTCCAACTTACATGTAAAGAAATCTGGAATTATGATTTTTAAAACCATATAACATGTGATTATAATTTTCTTAGCATTTTCTTTGTAAAAAAACTAAAATATAAACTAGTTGGTGTATAATAAAAAGTAACGAAATTCTGAGAAGAGTTTTATCTTAGGATAATACATATATGCAGTGTGCGTGCCAGTGTGGTATTAAAAAATTTAATAGTTCAGTTTGATCCTTACCAATACCATTACTTAAGTTGACGTGTTCATTAGCACCTCAGAATTTACCTTCTGTATGTACTGTTGAAGGAAATTGGCTTCTGATGCATGAGCATATATATGTACATTGAAAGTAATTCATAATAGAAGTTAGTTTAAATGAACTGTAGACAGTACATAACTCCCTTGGAAGAGAATTAAGCTGAGAAAGAGTTGACATTGCCTTAAAAGGCAGGTCTCACCTAGCTCCATCCAGTACCTAATGTGTGATGTTTCAATATGGTTTAGGGAGAACACTGCATTCTCAGCAAAAGTCTGGTGGTCTACTCTTTAAATGACAGCACTGATTTTTACAAATTGCTACTCTTAAGAAAGAAAACTGGCCATTTTTCATGTAAATAGTGTGTTTAAAGATTTATATATCTCTCTAGGAGTATTCCCTCAGTTCCTAGTCCAGGAGTAGATTAATAAAAAAAACTTCCCAAGGATATCTTATTATTGTTTACTCAAGGGAACTACAAGCTTATTCATGAACCAAAGGGAAGCTATGAATAGAGAGTCACATGAGCCAAATTCTCTACTTCACTGTTTATAACTCAAGAGGGTAGCTGTCAGAAATCCTAATACCATGGTGAAAAGCTCTGTAAACATGAAATCTATAACAAATGTAGATTTTTTTTCACAATATGCTTATTAATAAATGAAATGGAATGAGTTTAGAGATAGTTTAATTCAACACAGACACTTTTGTTTTGGAAGGAACTCAGGTTTTCTTGCAGTTGTAAGATACACTATGTTTATTTCAAAGACAAAAGGAAAAAAATGGAGAACTGTTTTTATTGTCCTTACATAGGCTGTTTAAAAATGTAGTTTTTAAGACTGACCAATCTGTAAGGGGCAGTAAAGATGTGAAATTTGCTCCCTGTAAGCACAACAGATTAGCTCTATCTGCATTAGGTGGGTACTATCTTTGAAAGATCTTTTTTATAAACAAATATGCTGCCTTAAATACTATGATGACTTCATTCTGATCAGTAGTCAAGACATTCAAACATTAGTACCAGAAAATATCTTAGGAAGTAGTATAATGTGGTCCTTCAGATTAACCGAAGGCCAGAAAAAGAGAATAAAACTCAGCAGCAGCTCACAGGGGATAGGGAAACAACCTAAGAAAGCTGAATTAAATCTTAAATTTTGTTTTCTGTAAGGATACAGATGGTACAAGTGAACTTTGCAAAGTAGTTTTGTGAGATTTTTAAAAAAATATCAATCCTTAAGTATATTTAACATTCACATAACAAAAGTAGCTTGATGCAGCTAAGTCAGTTTAATTTTTTTTGTTCTGGATTAAACATTCTTTAGTACTTAGACTTGAAAGCTGATGTCTGTTAAGAATATGCGTTGTTTTAATTATACAGTAGCATTTACTGTAAGTTTAAAGTCAGATTTCAAAAAACATCTATTTAGGGCTGGAGGTATGGCTCAAGTGGTAGAGAACTTACTTAGCAAGCACAAGACCCTGAGTTCAAATCCCAGTACTGCCCCCAAAAAAATCTGTTTAGGCAAACAATTTACCTTCTTTCTAAGTTTACTCAATGCACGTTTGCTAAACTATTTGGAAACACTTCTATTAAACTTTAGGTATAAAACAAGCCAAATATTAATGAAGATATAATTTTCTTACATAAATGAAATAGCTACTATTCTTTATTAGAATATGACTGTGTAGTATTACATTGATTTTAAACATAGTAGCTAATAAAATTTGTTTGTGACATTGACTAAACTTCTCAATCTGACAGTTTTTAAATAGCTTAAAAATAAGCACTAGGTACTGGAAATTTTAATTATCCAGAAGTCATAAATAGCAGGAACCTATAGTTGTGGCAAAGTAGCTGAAAGCAGAGGTTTGGAAACCTATTTTGATTTTTTTAAACCCATTGCAATTTTTCTAAATTTAAAATTAGCAAGTGACTGTCTCCCTAAGAAAAGACATAATTTTGTTAATTTCAATCCAGTTGAATTCCTCATTTTAGGGAGTAAGGAGTCACATCCAGAACATGCATGACACCACATGATGGCAGCAGGCTTATACTTATCCAGAACCCTCATGAGTTTATGCTGCAGCAGGATAGCTGAAGAGACAGGTAACTAATAGAACAAGTTATATAGGATAAATGAGGAAAAAAACAAGAAGCAAATTAACATCAAAAACTATTTTACTATAAATGTGAGCAAGAACAAATGATACGGGAAAATATATGACTAGCTGAACATACTTTCACTTTACTTAAGGGATTGAGCTTAAAGGCCTAAAGGATCTCACAGCATATACCACAGTAAGTAGAAAAAGAGCAACATCTTTATACAATAAACTGTCAGGAATGATAAGCTTAAGGTTGTGCGTACCTGTGGCTCTTGAAGATTTATGTACAGATTGGATCCTGCCCTATGTATTATATTCGAACAAACCAAAACCAAAAAAGCTTGGGTATTTATAACTGACCACCTTAAAAATACAGGAAAGTCAGTGATACAGCAGTAGTAGTAAATGAAAAATAGACAAGCAAATAATGACCCAGTGGAGTAAAGCATAGTTATCTTCTCAAATATTAGAAACAGATAATCCTTTTTATCTTGACCTTGAAAAATTCTGTTTTCCAGACAGCTAGGAAAAATGGATATCTTCTGCATTGAATCTATGTAGCAACCTGCCAGGGAGAGAAAAAGCCAAAAAGGGTGGTATTGAAAAGCTAAATTGTAGCATGTAATGATATACAGATCTGTAAATTCTAATACATGAATATATGAGCCTACTTACACACCCACCCACTCCGAACAGTAATCTACAGAAATTATTCCCCAACTAAATTTATAAAAGAAACCTTAGTTAAGGTTTCTGGTGCCTTTTGTCATAGCCTACGTGTCTTAAATTAGATTTGACTTAAGTTATCTTAAAGATTTTTGCTATGCCAGGCTTCAGAACTCATTGGCACTTCTTCCATTTCAACATGTTGATTCAACAGGCTGTCTGGAATTTCAGATAGAAGAAACCAGTCTTCACATACCCATTCTCTGAGCTGTTCAAATCAAATATACATTGTTTCTCTCTGTGGAAATCAGTATACTCTACTTGTCCAACTTGACTTCTTAGCCAACTGCCCCTTGAAGAAATTTAGTAAGATTGAAGGGAAATAAGGTATAACATTTCTGTTTAGATCTGAGATTATTTTCAGGCTGGCCCAGAGGAAGAGGTCCAGATGAATTAAAATGTCTGAAAAATCAAACTGTAGGTAGTTATGAATAGTGTTTCTACTCCTAAGATTAATATCTAATAAAGACTTAGTAGTCCTGCTAGCCAGCCAACAAAACAAACTCGATTTGTCCTACGTTATATGTTTCCAGCTTCAAAAAAGTCAAACCAAGGACTTTCATAACAATCTACCCCCATTCTTAATTCAAGCTATAGAACATAGATACTTTCATGAGTAAACTAGCTAAATAGCCAAAAAACTGAAAGTGTCATATGAGTAAGAACAAGGAACACAGATTGATGTACCTGAGTAACACTTGAAGCCTTACTCCATTTTCATAATACTTGTTTAGGTCAAGGAAAACAGATTTCGGTCTAAATAGCCCAGGTAATTATGACATCCTTTACTCAAGATGTATAGAACTTGCCTCAGGCTACAAACCAACTATTACTAAATAGGTAATCAGTTATTAAAACTGACATTCCATGCTTAAGATCTATTTAAAGCTATTCCCAGTAAGGAAATATAAAGAACCAAATCCAGTTACACATATTAAGATTTCTCTACCTTATGGGCTATGAAGGGGCAAGCTAGAATTGGGTTGAAGGAAGAGAGGAACTTGTAAACACCACAGTACACATTAACAAAGGCAATCTTCTGGCTTGGACTGTTCTTAAAAAAAAAAAGAAATTTCATTCTGCTGCAGCTAATTTGCCTCTACACCAAATACTATTCCATGCCATGGAAAGTGCTATGCAATAACTCTTCCAGGTAGCACCTTATACCGCTTAAAAGCCTTTAATCTGAAGGTATCACAGTAAAGAAATGTGAACACTTAGAAAAACAAAAATGTACTTACCTGATAAAGTAATCCATGGAACGGGCCCATTTGTCACTAAAACCTTTGCTGGTTAGGATTTGCTGTATATTATCTGCTATGCTGAAAATCGTCTGATATTATCTATCAATATAAGATTCAGAATAAATGAAAAACATATCTTTAATGAAGTCACTTTGGCTCTTTTTTTTTTTTAAGTTTAGTATAGTCATCTTTAAAACATCTTTTAGGGGCTGGGGGCATGGCTAAGCAGTAGTGCAATGACCTGTACTAACCAAAAAAAAAAAAAAAAAACCACATCTGTTAATGACAGCTGGGAAAAGCCTGAAAGTTTGGATAAGACTTGAATCTCTAAATGGTTCATTTTTTTCCACATGATACAGATACCTTGAATAAGTAATCAGGTATACTGTCCTTTTTCATTTTTAAAATTCTGAAATACTATCAGTTTTAGACTAGACAATTAAAACTGTAAATAAATTTTAAAACAATTGTTATCCTTTCAAAATAACTCACATTTTCTTGCCCAAATTTCACCACCTGATTTTTCTCAGAGATGACCTCTCTAACCCATAAGAATAAGTATTTCATACTTGATTAACATCTTTTTTGCATTTTCTTTTGGGTATGCTGCAAACTGCATAATACATGGTTATTAGTTTTAAAAGTTTCAAATTACACATGGGCCCAGAGGTAGGTGTGTAACAGTTAACTATGTCACCACTTCTGGTGCTCCCCATTTCTCTGTAGATCTACATTTCTAGCTGAAGTTGATTCACAGCATTTACGCAGATTCTTAATCCAGCTTAATATTTTTCTACTTAAACTGGTATTTAGGGACTTTGCTCATAACAGGGAGAATGGAGACAATATTGTGGTGCACTAAACCATACAAAATCTGACCCATAAAAAATACAAGGAAAATTTGTCTTTGATTCATTTAAACTGAAGGACCTAAAAAGTTAGCAAAGAAATTCTTAAAAAAGCGTATATGTGTGAGCACTCCAACACTTGTTTAAAGGAAATTGTGAAAAAGCATGAGGCTCACAACTTGAAATCTGCTATTCACCCTATACTTTTTCTAATTTCAATCTCTGAGTGTTAAAACAGTAACTTTAAATTTATAATTGCTATATGAACAACAAACAAGGAAAGGACACAAAAAAGACAGCAAATTGTACATAATATTTTAAGTTGAACAAGCTACATATCCATAATTTTGAGGAAACCCTAACTCAGATAAATCTGATTATTCTTGGGTAGAAAACAAATGTCAGTAGTTAAAAAGAGAACAAGGCCCACAGAATACACAGCAGCATTCAAATCAAAATTAAGGATCCTATAGAATGTATATAATTAAAAAATCTCATAATACTAGATCAAAAAATAACAGCAAGACATTTTAAAAGAAATTATCACTGAAACAGCATAAGCAATTTCTATTTACAGTGTTGTGGACTGAACAGTGAGTTCTGTAGTTTTTTTCCCAATAGCTGTTGCACTGCACTTGATCTATAAGGAAGTGATACCACTATCCAAAATCAGAGATTACACATTTCATTTCAATTTCGGCAAGATTAAACCTAAATTCCATTTGGTGAAATTAAGAAACTTTTAAAGTGCTGAATATTTAAGTTTATTAAGCAAAAACTATATTAAAAAATGGAATCCTGATAAACACCTCTTAAATTCTTCTTTTAAAACAGATCCAATTTCTTATTATCTCTTATGTTTTCTCCTAACAAAATTGGAGAACAAGAGAGCGAAACAGGTTCTGCCCGGAAGTGGGGGGGGGTTCAAACAATGTATACACATGTAAATGAAAAATCAATTTAAAACATCCAATCAAATTCTACATTCTGGTTTTTTTTTTTAAAGAACTGGGGTCTCACTATGTTGTCAATGCTGGCCTCAAAGTCCTGGCGTCCAATGATCCTCCTGCCTCAGCTTTCCAAGTAGGCATCTACCCCAACTTCTTAAGTTGTAAAGAGAAATTATGCTTAAACCCTCACAAAACATCTCATTAAAAAAAATCTCAGGAACCCAAACACTAGGTCTGCAGGCCTTTTCCTGTAAAATTCTGGGTTCCAGTTACTCCACCTTCTTTACTTTGTTCCTCCAGGCCTAGAGGTAGTCAACTGCTCTTTGCAATTGTTTTTGGGTTATTTCAGTGTTCCCACTTTGTTCTTTTAGTTCTCCAACACACAT